CCCTTTGCACCCTAATGAAAGCCAGCATTTACATACAGTCCTCTCCTGTAGTGAGGAGGGGTCCAGAGGCAGGAGGTTAGCACAGCAAGTTGTGGGTTCCAGCTACTCAGAGCAGCAAGTCTGCTATCCAAAGGGCACCAATGATTCTGAGAAGTGAAAACTGTTATCCTGGTATGAGCAGTTAAGTAATAATTGAAGTGATTTTGATCTCTTGATTTTACAAAGCAATTCTATTAATTTCTGATTCTGAAATATAGAATGTATTACTTCCTAAGTTAGGCAGTCTAGCTTTTGAAAGTTATCGTGTACATTAAAAGACCGCCTCTATAAAATACTTTTACACAGACCCAAAAGGATTCCTAAGATACCTCTTCTGTGCAGTTGCTCTTAAAGATAGTCATACCGACTACACTTAGAAGTCTCATCATTCAGCTTCTGCAGAGAAGATAGCACAGCCTCCTTTAATCAGATATCCCGACTTAATGTTATAAAATTCCCGGTTTTAGACCTGCATTTGAGTTCCGTTTGAGTACCCTGTGCACCTAGGCTGTGCTGACTAGACCGAATGACAGCGTTGGCCTGTGACTGTAGGGGAGGTACTGGGAGCTTAGACATCATCAGTCATCTCACCCAACAATACCATCATCATCGAGGACCCAGTTCTTACATGTAATCAACCCACATCCTTTAACTTTTCTACCTTGAAATGGTTTTCCAGCCTTCTGGTCATCTCTCTTCAGCCTCAGCCTCTCCAAGTTCTTCTTCACCCTTTTTAGGGCTTTGAGTTCAGTGTTCTGAACCCTAATAAGATGATCCTTTCTCAAATCCTTATGTGACGCGAGTATTTGTATAACCCTGTGATGGGTTTTGCCCCCTCGGTATATTACAGTATGACTCTGTTATTTTGCCACTTGGGTGCAAAGGCGATTATTCTACATGTCATCTCAAAACTTTTTTTGGTATTTGGGCTTTTTAAAGTGTACCTCCCTGCTTTTGTGCCTATCAGACTTCATGGTGCTTGTTTCTGAGCTTGGGGCACCAAAAAGGGAGTATTGGCTTTTGGCTGTTGTCTTCAAGTCAGCAGTTCATCTGTATTCACTCTCCTGTTCCTTTCTCTCTCTTTTTTTTAAAGATTTTATTTATTTGAGGGGCACCTGGGTGGCTGAGTTGGTTAAGCATCTGCCTTCAGCTCAGGTCATGATCCCAGGGTCCTGGGATCGAGCCCCACATCAGACTCCCTGCTCAGTGGGGAGTCTGCTTCTCCCTCAGCCTGCATCTCCCTCTGTCTGTATCTCCCTCACCTGCTGCTCCCCCTGCTTGTGCTCTCTCTCTGTCAAATAAATAAAAGAGAGCACAAGCCAAGACTGTTGAATCACAGATCTGTACTTCTGAAACAAATAATGCAAGATATGTTAAGAAAAAAGAAAAAGAAGAAGATAGCAGGAGGGGAAGAATGAAGGGGAGTAAGTCGGAGGGGGGAGACGAACCATGAAAGATGATGGACTCTGAAAAACAAACTGAGGGTTCTAGAGGGGAGGGGGGTGGGGGGATGGGTTAGCCTGGTGATGGGTATTAAGGAGGGCACGTTCTGCGTGGAGCACTGGGTGTTATGCACAAACAATGAATCATGGAACACTACATCAAGAACTAATGATGTAATGTATGGTGATTAACATAACAATAAAAATTTTTTAAAAAGAGCACATGCAGGGGGAACAGCAGAGGGAGAGGGAGAAGCAGTCTCCCCACTGAGCAGGGAGCCCGACACGGGGCTCAGTCCCAGGACCCTGGGATCATGATCCTAGCCAAAAGCAGACGCTTAAGCTGCTGAGACACCCAGGCACCCCTCTCCTGTTCCTTTCTTGGTAACTCTGTTACCTCCTTAAGTGCATTCAGTAGTTTAACTTAGCAGAAGTCTGAGCTAACCATTTTCTTGTTTTCTACTTCCTTAAATGAGACACAGAATCATCTAGCTGGGAGCATTCCCTTTTGATGTTTGACATTAACAATAGTTAGGATTGAGTTGAGAATTATTACTTATAGTTCTCTCTCTTTTTTAAAAAAGACTTACTTGAGAGAGAGCAGTGCGGAGCGGCAGAGGGAGAGGGAGAGTCTTAAGCAGACACTGTGCTAAGCACGGAGCCCAACATGGGGCTCGATCCCACAACCGTAAGATCACGACCTGAGCCAAAACCAAGAGTCAGCTACTTAACCAACTGCACCACCCAGGGACCCCAGTTCTCTTTTTGTTTGAATTTAGAATCTGCCTAATTTGCTTAGTACAAAATTGTATCTTTAATGTCTGTTATCTGTTAGCAGATTGTGAATAGTCTTCTTAACTCATGATCGTTGTATTTCAGGACATACTAAAGTATACCTTCTAAATTAAAGTAGGTAGAAAACTTCTTTGTCAAGGATTTAATAAACTGGGGAGTTTGAAGAACTACCTGTATAAAATCTAGATTGATGGTGTTGTACCCACAGTCTCTTTCATAGCAATAGTGTAGTACAAGAGTTGGCACACTATGGCCTGGGCACCAAATCTGGCCCATAGCCTATTTTTATATATAAAGTTTTATTGGAACATAGCAATGTACATATCGTCTATGGCTGCTTTCATGCCACAGTGGCAGAGGTGAATAGTTGCAACAGAGACCATATTCCCTGCAGGCCTCAAATATTTACCTGGCCCTTTACAGAAAAAGATTTTTGACCCCTGGTATAGTAAAAACCCTTGAACTGGGAGAGTAGTCAGAGGACCTCAATTCTGTCTATGCTTGATTTTATCTCTTAAATTGGCAGCAACCTTAACAGGTTGCTAAACCTCTCCAGACCTCAGTTTCCTCACATACAAAAGGAGACTCTTAGAATGAATCATCCCCTAAGGTTATAATTCTATAAATCGATAAACTGTTTTGGAACCATCTTGCTGTTTTACATAATAGCTTTGCATTGAATATTTGAACCACATGCAGTCACTGAGTTTAGAGAACTAAATAAAGAAAACTGCTAACCATAAGACAGATAAATTAGGAACTTGCTACTATTGTTTTAAAAGAATTTACCTCTCTTAAGACTCTTTTAAATAGTGCTTTCCTGGCATACGTATTTCTAGATCAGGCCCTGAAACATAAACTCAACATATTAAGAAACTCAGTTGAACTTCATTTGGAAAGAAAAATAAAGCAGCTCTAAAATTTAGTTTCAGTGGGTGGGAAACTTTTGATATATAAAATTCCATTCCCACCCAGCTTTTAGGGAACATGTATGTATGTGAAATGAAATAAGCTTCTACTATAGAAAGAAGAACTCAATATTTAGTGCTTTTTTTCATCATGGTAGCTGACTATAAGATTCCACGTAAAGACCTCTCATGCATTAACCCTAGACTTTCAGAAATCTAAAAAGTTGGGGTACCTGACTGGCTCAGTAGAAGAACATGTGACTCTCGATCTCAGGGTTGTGAGTTCAAGTCCCACGTTGGGTGTAGAGATGACTTAAAAATAAAATCTTTAAAAAAAAAAAAAGAAATCTAAAAAGTTGCCTGGAATGGTATCACCAAGATCACGTCTCTGTTTTTTTGCCTTTCCCTTTCTGCATTCAATTCAGTTCATTTCAATGTATATTTGTAGAAAGAAACCCTAACATGCCCCCCCAAAAAATGAACCTTGTGGAAACATGTTTCTATTAATGTTTTCATATATTTAATAAATGCCTACACACATAAAAAATTTCTCTTTCTCCTCCCCCCCCCCGTCTCCCTCTCTCTTTCTAAAAAAAAGGTGGGGGATACCACCCGGGTGGCTCAGTTAGGTAAGTCTCTGACTCTTGATTTCGGCTCAGGTCATGATCTCAGGGTTGTGAGATTGAGCTCCGTGTTAGGCTGGAGCCTATGGAGCCTGCTTAAGATTTTCTCTGCCCCCTCCCTCTCTTAAAAAAATTTTTTTTTCTTTCTTTTCAGAAAAATCTGCGAGTTCAATATTTAAAATTTAGACTTAGACTACATAAGTGATTTGATACTTAAACTACCTAAATGAGCAATTCTACTTAGACCAGCAAAAGGCTGTGCTCATGTTCTAGCTATATATTAGTAAGCCTAGTGATGGTTTACACTTACAAAATGGCTTACAGTTCGCAAAGCATTTTCATATATGTTATGACTTTTGAAGATCCTGTAAGCTAAGTTATGTCAGTTTTAATGTTTTCACATTATAGCTGAGAAAGACCTCAACTCAAGTAGTATCAGGCAGCTGGAAAATGGCAGAGCCAAGGAACATACCTAGATATTCTGACCCACGCCTAACAGACTCACAAAATAACTTTTATTGCTGTTCTTGTTACTGACACAGTTCCTCACATTTTTCCGTCTAGCAGTCTGAAGGGGTGTCATGCACTTAATATGACAGTAATTCTCAAGTAGGAATCGGGGGAAACTATGTGTGCTGTTTAGAGTCCACCTGTAGTTGGTTCTGCCGTGCGGCCTGATTGAGAATTACTGTACTAGAGTAGCAGATAGTCATTTTTAACAACAAGAGGGGGAAAAGGATTTTAAAAGAGAAAAATGACTCATTCCTACTTCCCAGAGAGAATGCTATTAGCATTTTGATATATGTTCAGTCTTTTATATCTGTATTAATCTTTTTTTCAAAAATGAGATACTATAGATTGTTTTAAAACCTTTTTTATGTAATTCACAAGCATCTTTCTGTTTTATTAAACATCCTTCAGCATCATTTCATATTGACTGCAGAATATTCCATTTTGTGGCATATGTTGAGTTTGAGATGAAAATGGTTTCACGTACTTTCCCAGTCCCCAACAGTGTTCTCCTCATATGTGCATATGTGATTAATTTGAAGGAATCCAAAATCATTTAAAAGCTCCCCCTCTTTTAGCTGTCATCTCCTATAGGTTTGACTTTCTGAATACTCCTTAAGTTTGTTACTGAACTTTTTTGTATTTATGTATTTGTTTTAATTTTTTTCATCTTTTTGTTTTAGGGTGCAGTACTAGCAGCTGTGTCAAGTCACAAATTCAACTCATTCTACGGGGATCCTCCTGAAGAGTTGCCAGATTTTTCCGAAGACCCTACCTCCTCAGGTAATTGGACCATTTATTCATTCACCAGCGTGAATCATTTGGTGTCTCATCCTTTCTCTTCCATTGTGAATAAACCTTTCTTATGAATCTGGTCAGATCCCCCAAGGAATTCTAAGGAAGTTTGTCAGCAACCAAATCCCATCCACGTGTGTCTAGTTCCTTTTAATTTTACTACTGAAGTTACTTTCCCCTGCTGTTCCAAAACCAACATTTTACTTTTTTCTTTTTACCTCAGAAATTCTTCTTCCGCTTTCCCCACTCCAGACCCGACATTGCACTTCATCCAATCCAACGTTGTGGTCAGTCTTTTTGGATCTTTCTGAGTACCTTATACCTAACAAAAAAAATTCCCCATGTCAACCATAGCAGATCAGACTTTGGGACAACCCTGCTTGTAATTTTATCTTTCAGTATAAACTGTCTTGTGACTTATCTCTTGAAACAATTTACAAGTTCTTCTCTTTTTATAAAGTCAGTAACACATGTATACAAGCATTCAGGGGAGAAGAACACAGAAGAAGAGTTACCTATTTGACTAAAATGTATATAGGTACTCCTGGGAGGGGGGAAAGCCACCAGTGTTCACAAAATTATTTTATAAAACACTCGGATTTCCATTTTATTAGTGAGGTATTCTCAAGGATCATTTGTTAAAAATCCACAGTATCCATTTATATGTTTATGTAAATGCATGCATATGTCTGTTATACTCTTTAAATTTCACTGATGTACGTACGTATTTACGTCTGAAACATATGTCCTCTGCCCTCAGCTTTTCTTCCTTCTGACATTAGAGTCGCTCAGTATTTGCCGTGTGGTTGACTTTGGGCTGTTGGTTTGATTTTTGTACTTTTGGGGCTGCCCATTCAGTATTCATGTATTACCATTGGGACTCAAGGCCAAAGGGCCCTTCCTAAAGCATGAGTTGTGTATCTTTCACTATTAGCAATCCAGGAAGAATGGATATGCTAATGCTTCTCTCCTGTTGGAACTGTGAGCATTTGTCAGTGCCTTCTCTCTGTTTATACATGTATGTGCACAAACCTTCACATACACAGTTTCTTACCAATTGGTATGTGCCTATTACACCTGGTGGGAAAGAACAGGATCAAGTTTCCCATTCCAGTAACTGTATAGTTCCTCATTTTGACCTTTACCAATTGGGATGTGAATCTTCCTCTTTTGAGTAAAGGTGATTTCCAAAAACAATCAGAAATGGGAATCTTAGAAAAGAGACTATGAAGAGAAGGTCTTGCTGGTTTCCTCTTACGCTGACTTTGTGATTATCCAGAGCCCTTACCACATGAAAGGCAAGGCTGTAGTTGTGTTTCTAGGTGTGTCCCCCATGCTCCCTGTTGTTTCATGTCTGTCTTTTTCTTTCCCAGTCCATTTTGTTCCCTCCACCTGTAGCCTTTGAGTTGGTGTTAGCTCAAACCTCTCTCTTCTCTCCACACTCGGTTTACAGTAGACCCATCTGGGGGGAGTGGATCCAGAAATGGTTTTATGTCGTACTGTGACTACCTGATACAGTCACAAATTTGGAATAGATTAAGAGATTGTAGGCCAACATCTAATACCATTTTCATCTTTAGAATCGGGACTGGAGAGCCGTGTGGTCCTTGCAATAGCTTCACAGACCTAATCTTTAGTGTTAACCCCTTAATATGTACTTCTGCCTAGCAAGAGTTAAGTGAGCTCTTAAGTGTCCCTTTCTGTTAAAGAATTGGATTTTTCTTTTAGGGAAAGGAATTGTCTATAGTTATAAACCTGCTTATTTTCTGTTAAATACATTTTTATCGCCCAGTTTTTTTGTTTTTCAGTACAATCTGTAAATGATATGGTTGAAATAGTCTCTGATTGCAGCATTTGCTTTTTAAACAAAAAAGAAATTTTCCACATTGTCTTGCGGATAGCCTGCAAGCTCTCGAATCAGTTGTTCACAATTTCACATTCCCTCTTCCCTTTCCTGCAGTCACACCTTCTTTTTCCAAAATTTCTGGATCTTAATGATCTCGTAAGCAGTCTATATCTTCATTTGACATGCACATGACTATCTCTATTTTTAAATAGCAGGATGCTATGAATAAAAGACAAAGGAATCATTATACAGTGTATGTGTCTGATCACCTCCCCTAAATGAAAAGGAAATTTTTTATGTATTCAGAAGTCAAAGACAAAGGAATATTTTGAAGAAAATTCTAATACTTTCATAACTTTCTCACAGCTATCAAGAATTATTCATATGTTCCTAAGATTAATTTTTAATACTAAGCCATTAAAGGGAGGCATTGTACTGTTTTATCAGCATCATTTATGAAATTGCTCTCTACCAGCAAACTTCCTTTTCTGCAACCAACAGTAATGGTTGTATGCTTGGTTGCAGAAAGCCTATTATATATTTTGTCTGGACTCACATAAGAGCTTTACACTTTCATAGAGTATTTTCACTTTTCATTTCATTTTTTTAATGTTTTCATTTTCAAGCCTAAATTCTTGTCAATGTAATCCTTAAATTCCTCATCATTTATTTTAAGTTCTGACATTAACCGTTCTGCTATCTTTCTGTTTAAATCTGCATGGGTTTGTTTTACAATACAAAACACAAAGCACCTTCCAGCATTACCTGAAAGTTCTAGCAAGTCCGTGGCAAAAAGAGAAAAATGATGAGCAAGCTTGGGTTTGTTGGGTGGGGGTGAGGGTGCAGGGAAGAGGAGGGGTTAGAGAGAAAACAGTGTAAGGTCACCAACTGCTGTCTGCTGTTTCTTAAGAGGGACAGTCTGTTTTTCATCTTTAGATAATGCCTGTTCTAGTCTTTCTATGAAATAATGATAAGTAGGTCTTTTCTTTAATGACTTTGCTTGACAAAATTAAAATCCTATTTTGGTCCCCCAAAACTCTATCTAAGATCACAATTTAAAAATGAATTTAAAATTAATACCTTTCCCGATCTGTCATCTAAAGAGTCTAACATATTTAGGTATGCTTTTTACATTGTAAAACAATTTTTATGTAAGAGATTATTTTTTCTATTTTATCAAAATTAGTCCATTACACATTCCCTAGAATTTGTTGAGTTTAATCTTATGATGAACAACAGTGTATCGTTCCTTTGTTACTTAACAATCCAAAGTAGAAATATTCCTTTCTCATATTTCAAATCAAAGAAGTCAGAATCCCAACCCAGTGTTTTAATGACTGAAATCCTTAACAGTCCCAGGGAATATGCTCGTGGAACACAAGGATTCACTTTGGGCTCCGCTGGGGGACTGTGCTTCTTGTGGCTCATCTACTGGGCCCAACTGTAGTTTGATAACCTGCTTGCTCTAAAATCATACTGTTTGTTGTTTGTCCATATGCTGCCTTCCTCCTAGGACTTCTAGCAGCAGAAAGTAGGTATCCCTTATGTTTTCCTCTAAGCTTTATCTTTTATGCAAAAGTGTTTGGCTTTGCATGGTTCATAAGCAGCTTGACTTTCTCCTTGGCTGTTTGTGTTTAGATGTTTGATTATGAATTTTAACACTGCCTGACCATAAAATAAAAATGTGGCTGTATTGATTTCCTGAGGCCCTGTCATACAAATAATACTAACTTCTCACTTTCGTAAGAGGAAGATAGGCAGTGTTAAAATTTTAACTGCACTTAATATTATCTCACATCTGAATTTCAAGCACAAATACATTAATTTGGGAGAAAGGGTAACATTTTATTTTATAGTTCACTTTCGAGAAAACTTTCAGGGTAAGTGAATTTTCCTTTGATTACATAATCTATTAAGCGGTTTTTATTACTCTCTATAACTAAATTTTTAGTTAATATGGAGCTGTGGAATGAACTCCTGAATTCATGTGTCTCAGCAACTTTTACCATCAGAAAGATCATTTGTAAAGAATCATATAATGGCTAAATTTTAATTACAAAAGGATGTGATTTGATTATGTGACAAGATTAAAGTAAAAAGTATGTAAAAAAAAATTAGACACACAAATGAGTACAAGTAAAACTAAGGCAATCTGAATAAGATGGGTGGATTGTATCAATGTCATTATTCTGGGTATGATACTATACTATAGTTCTGTAAAATGTTACCAATGAAGAAACCGAGCAAAGCATACAAGGGATCTCTGTATTATTTCTTACAACTGCATATGAATCTACAATTATTTAAATAATTGCAATTAAGACAATAGAATAAATCTTTACCTCTACATTGTGCTTACTGGGGGGAAGTATATAAGAGACAATGATAAATTAGAAAATCTGGATTCTAATAATTGAATACATTGTCACATTCTCTTGCATTTGTTACTTGTAGCTCCAGTTGCAGCTGATTTAATATAAAAATCTCACAGTATGTTAATTGTCTATTGCTGTGTATCGAATCCCTTCAAAGCAGGATTTATCCTCTCACAGTTTCTGTGGGTCAGGAATCTGGGCATGGCTTAGCTGTGTGCCTCTGGCTTGAGATCTCCCATGAGACTACAGTCAAGCAGTCGTCCAGGGCTGCAGTCTCATCTGAAGGCCCAACTGTGGGCGGTTGGGGGGGAGGAATCCTCTTCCAAACTCCCTGTCGTAGTTGTTGATAGGCTTCAGTTACTTACTAGCTATTGAGCCTCTCCATAGGGCTGCTCACAACACAGAAGTTTGTTTTCCCCAGCATGAATGATCAAAGACAAAGGGCACGGTCTTTATCACCTCATCTCGGAAGTGACATCCTCTCATTTCTGCCCTATTCTCTTCATTACAAGTGAGTTACTAAGTCCAGCCCACACTTCAGGGAAGGGATTTGATTATACAAGGGTGGGAATACCAGGAGGCAGGGACCTTGGGGGCCATCTTAGAGGCTGTCCACCACATACAAGTTAATGACAATTAGAGTGTGAGACACTTCTTTGTACCTGCTTTTGTTTCTCCAGATTGAGCATGCCTCTCTTTTTTTTTTTTTTTTTTTTAAGTAGACCTATCATGTCATTTGGAAATGAAAGCATCTTGGAGGTATCAAG